CGCGTAAAATAGCATTACAATTATAGTTTATTTGTTGTACGATATGATATTACTGTACCCCCACTGGGTCAGCGGTAAGTTAACTGACTTACAACGCTAAAATTCCGGGCTGGACTCCCGACGGTAGACAGAGTGTATTCAGTCCATTGTGTAGCTTTGCGCTAAAACAACCAATCAATAAAAAACATAAAATTATATTTTACTGTTACATGTCACACTTGGTCAGATAAGAGGATCTACACCCTAAACACTTCTCTTATAAACGACTTATATCAAGATATTTTCCACTAAGAATTTGTATGTTGTAACTCAACCAACATGATGATCTCTGGTATTGTCGGTAGCGGCATACAACAAATATGATATGGTTGAAATACTGTTATATACTATTTTTACTGGAAACACGTATTGTATCAATAAAGAATGGTGTGATTCATATTACTACCAGTATTGTTGTGATTATGTATTACAAATACGTTACTACTAAAGGTCACACTTCTATAGTTAAAACGTTCTAATCTTAATTGTGGAAGATACTATCTGTTACAGATATTGATACCATTATATTCAAATATGTAAAATTAGTTTGTAGGAAATATTTCTATAACATTTAAATTGTATTTAAAATATTGTCAGTTGGCTGTCTGGGCTTTCCATAACGTACTTTCAAACACGAATCACCAAAATGTCACAGTTTGAACATCATGTTCTTTTATCTTTTATTTGTTTTGCATAAATTGTTTTCCAGTATATTTGTGAAATCTAAACGTATTTAAAGAAAAGGAATATAAAGTGTTTAATTTACAAAACAAAGATAAGTTTTGTTGAATGCGTAGAAAAAAACAACCTTAATATACATACTTTTGTTATCGTCTAAAAGCTATCACTTTTTTATTAAATAGTATTTCATTCTTTTTGTTAACAAAATATTTCTTAAAACAAAAACAAGCAACATATGAATATTCTAGAAACTGTGAACTTAATATAGTTAACCGTGTAATTCAGTCTTACCGTAAACTATTATCATTTTCTATTATGTCTTTATTCAAGTAAAGAGCATTAGCAAGATGTCTTCCTACTAAAAATCCTTTCTCACAAATGTGTATGGCAGGCTGAAATAGTTCGGACCAACGTAATTTTCCATATTTTGTCCAAGCGGCTGCATAACCAGCTAATTCTCCAGGTACACCTATTGATAATCCACCTGAAAACATGGATAAGCCATACACATTTATCTATTTGAAATAGTCTGCTTAGTCAAATTGTTACAGACACCAATATTTATAGTTCTTAATACAATCAACACAAAAACGTAAAATATACGTGTTAAACTACCAGATGATAACTGTTACTTGAACATATAGGAAATACTGATTTCTGAGCTAGGAATTCGACTCACGGAGAATAAGAATGCTAAATTTCTATTTAGGGTATAATGTTAAAGATGCAGGTCTTGAAAGAAGAATTGAAATCGTTACTGGCTCTTATTTACAGGTGTGCAAAATTGGCACATTATGTAATTGATAACTGGTCGCTAAAAATCTGCTTTCACTTGCTTATTGACATTTTGGTTTATTTGTGCAGTGTTATAGTTCGGTTCCTAAATCACAGTCACACTGTTTCATCTCTTAAACTTGCATCTTACTTTTGGTTATATTGTTTTTGGGAAGGGTCCTACTACCATACTTGTATTCTTGGTAACAATGTTAAGGACTGATACCAATTCTTTCCTAAGGCAGGCCAAGACTTGCTCTGTATTATGACATTTTCGGTCTTTTAAAAGCTACACCCAGTTTTTGCGTTCACGCAAACTCATATTGGCAGTAATCATGCAAGGGAGTAAGTTTCTGGAACAAAAATTAGAAAAATAGCGGGCCTTAGTCCGATTAAGTATTTTTCGCTCTCTCTAGCTTTCATATTCGGTTTTCACACTCCATCTTTAAGAAATATGTGTTTGAAAAGTACAAATAAAATCTCGTTCTTCATCAATACACGATATTTCGATTTTAACTCAGATTTATTTTAGGTTGGTGTTCTAAAATTTCTCGAAAATATTGTTAATTGTATTGCTAATTCAAACAAAAAAAAAGAAACACCCTCCTTACAATTTCGGCAACGCTTACAAAGCAAATAAGCATTTCAATTTCATTTCAATTAAAAAAATCAAGACGTCTGTTGCCGAAAATGAAAATCAGTTTATGCGTATTACCTTTTGTCAAGAGCCAGAGGAAAACCATTGTTCTTCTCTAAAGGTATCGAGAAAGACATGTGTTCTTGACATTCTCATGGGTTATCATGTTCACTTTATTGATTCCAATGTACATCTGTTGTGTTATTTCTTTTACTTAGCGATCACTGCAAGTAACAAACAACCGATATGATAAGATCTGATAATGCTCTTCATTAATATTCTGCTGACTTCTGTCACTTCAGAAAAAGTAGTATGGACGAGTATCCTGTCTCAATACTTTTACATTACGTAATGCCGCTGCGTGACTATTAGTTCTCAAACTACCAAATGTTTGTTTGTTTTTAATTTTGTGCAGAGCAACATGAAGGCTATCTTGGCTAGCCATTCCTAATTTAGCAGTGTAAGACAAGAGGAAAGGCAGCTAGTCATCACCACCCACCGCCAACTCTTGGCTACTCTTTTATGAACGAATAGTGGGACTGATCGTCACATTATAACGCCACCACGGTTTAAAGGGGTTGGTGTGACGTGGATTCGAACCACGACCCTCAGATTGCGAGTCAAGCGCCCTAATCACTTGGCCATGCCGGGCCTCTATCAAATGTGGATGTGAGTGTTGGTAAAGCTTGATATGATAGCTTAAAATGGTCTTATGTAAGACAGTGCAACTTACCATGATTAGCTTATTTTGATTGTAATACCACACTATACTACATTTTACAGACCAAAAACAACACAAAACGTCGTAGCTTCATATATCAGAGAAGGATATTAAAACTTACATTATGTTTCGGTTAGAAGGACACATGCATCCTTTTTTAAAGAACTAAACATGTGTTTCATCTCTAATATCTGGTCAACCTCTATTACATAGCTTAGCATTTCTCACAGACAGAAACCCATCTGAGTTACTAGAAACCATGAAATAATCTTCAGTACGTCGGAAAGCTCTAGAGAGAAAACCTTGGGCAGAACTGAGTTCGCAGATCAGAAAGAGTTCAGCCGTCAAATTACATAGCCAAACTCAGATAAATGTAAACATTAATCTTCCCTCTTAACTCTAGATGTAAAAATAAGACACACACCAACCACCAAGGAAAACTACTCTCGCATAAAATGATACTAAATACTCCTATTTAGTCGTCTCGTTATTGTCAGATTGGTAATCATATAGGATCAAAGGTTTACAAAGGTATTGTTGAAAAGGCTGTTAGTTAAGAGCTAACGTCTTTTTTACTTTCTTGTTGATGTCTTCCTGACCCAGTAGCCCCCAGTGGCACAGCGGAAAATCTACGGACTTATACTGCTAGAAACCGGGTTTTGATACCCGTGGTGGGCAGAGCACAGATAGCCCTTTGTGTATCTTCATGCTTAATAACAAACAACAACAACAACCTGACCTAGTCGTAACATAATTAAAATTTAAAGTTCGCTCTAATTCTTTTACAGCAAACGTCAGGGACTATAAACAGTTATTTCTTCTGATTTTTCTTTCATTTCTAACGCATTTAAGCACAACAGTGCAATCAGTGTATTAAATTATTTATTAAAGCAAGTTACCAAAACTTACCAGTTTGTGACAGTTCAGACACTCCCTGAAACATATTTTCGGTAGCAGCTTGTGGCGCCACTTCACGGGCGTTTAAAACATATGCAGCTTTTTCATTTCTGACAGAAATTGAATAAGATCTGTATTTTTTACCAAAAAAAAGAAATACTTCGCTAGAGATTAGACACAGAAATATAAAACTGCATAAGTTAGAGCTAGAATTAGAACACAAATTTTCTTGTTAGCAAAAATAAATCTTGTCTAATCAATAATGTCAGAGCATTTTTAGAAAATAACTTTAGGCTTAATAAGAGTGTATGTCAAGACAATTAAAGTTCGTTTCAGATTAAAGAGCGTTCTTTATTCAAAAACAGTCAGAAAGTGTTGTAGTTGTTGAACTTAATGAGTTATGAGCTAACGTTTCAATATTAGTTCAATTCAATAAGCTTAGGATATTGTGTAAACTTAAGTTATATGCTAAAGTGAGACTAAAAATAAGCACAGTTGAAATATGATTATTTTGAGATAAAGTGATTACGGGAAATCCTGAAGAAGGTGTATCATCCTCAAGTCGTTCTATTTAATTATGTTATCAACCAGTCACAAAAGAAACCAAACGAAGGCCACACAGAAACGTTATCTTCTTAGTGTGTATAAACATGTCAACTTACAACATGTTAAATATAGACATCGAGACCCAAATCATGGTTCGTTTAATCATTTGATTTTTCGTGGTTTATTAAGAAGTTTTAATTAATCTATATTAAGATATACATAAAATATCACATCTAAAGTCTTCACTTAAGGTGATATGTAAAATCTCACTCTCTTAAAGCTTATTATAAAAAGTTGAGTTTTATTATCTTATTTTTTGATGATTCGAAATTATGTAATCCCATTTACAAAATGAATACGGTTAATGTATTTATCATTTCTGTATTCTAGGTCACCTTACTAATAAAAGTACACAATATCGTGCGCATTAGTTAAAAAAGTTGGTGAAAAACTAAGTAAATGTAACAAACTATCAAAAGACTTGAAATTAAAGAAAATAATTTCGACACATTCATGCATTTTTTCAGTCTCAATAAAATATGCCCACAAAAGTTTTATATCCAGAGAAAAAATATCAAATTTATGTATTTACAAAGATGAAAGTTGCCTATTCTTATATATTAGAGTTCAAATCATGCATCATTACACAATACTTTTTTTAAAATGTAACATTCCAAGTAACGCGGTTATACCTTTAAATAGTATAATGTACATATCCTTGTTATGTTCTTATATTTTTTGCCTCGGTAAACAGAAGAATCTGAGCATCATAAATTATAGCAAATATAATCAAAACTGTCTTAATGTGACAAAATAACACTCTTTTATGGTTTGGCCCAAAGTCATTTGAATATACATGTAAGAATACACATAACGCTACAATGAATTCCATAAACATAATAATCCTACACTGATTGAATATCACGCACTAGTAAAAAGTATGATACATTAAGTTAAATTAAGAAAATAGTTAGCTATTCAACTAGTTTTCTTCTAATATGATAAACTTTCTGACATGACCTAAATAATGAGTTTGTTCTTTTTCATCATATTACATACGACCAAAAGTGTTCTTATACGTTTTCCTAGTGTCATAAACTAATAGTAAATCAACATACCTGAGTAATAGATACCTGATTCTGTTTGATTATTACGTAGAAATTCTATAGTGTAACACAGTATTATGTAATTTTAGAGTATTATAAACCATTTGAAACATATATAAAATGCCTGCTTAATAGTCGTCTTGTGCTTCTGCATTAGATTTTTAACTTTGAATTGAGTTTTGCTACGCCTACTTGTGACATTTAAAATGAATGGAACATTTGTATTTTTCTGATAATTCTCTTCTATAGCTAATTCTCTATGACAAAAATGCCCCCCAGTGGCACAGCGGTATGTCTGCTGACTTACTACGCTAGAATCCGGGTGTTGATGCCCGAAGTGGGCAGAGCACAGATAGCCCATTGTGTAGCTTTGTGCTTAATTACAAACAAGCAAACGAACCATAACAAAAGTGAGTTTCTAATTAATACCACTTGAAAGTAATTGACAAAGGAATCCAAATATATATAATAATATGAATAATATATTATATTATTGTTTAGCAATATTAACAATATATATATGAATATTATATATATATATATAATATGTACATTATTTTTCAAATTAAACATAGTTAATTTTAAAACTAAAACACACTATCTGTGGTAAACAAAAATGTAAAAAGAATATGTTAATACTGTTAGAGGGAGCTATTATTACAGGTCAAGAGTGCAGGTTTACCTTGTTAGTGGAAAATTGAACACTTCAAATGTTTTAAACATATTTTTCCCAGAATAACAACAGCTGCGGGGTAATAAATATATTGTTTTACTTCAATAGTTAACGATTATTAAATACAAGCGAAAAGTGCCCGGCTTCTCTCGGATTATTAGATTGATACAGTCTAGAAGACTATGTCAATGTGTATTCTGAACCGACTTTAGCATAAAAGAACAATCCAAAACATTTTAAGGATGTTTATTTCCTAGAAATATAAAAACATTGTTTTTCTATATGATTTTTTGCTAGCTTGCCTCATTAAAAGATGCGCACACGAACGTAGATTAGATAATATTGTACCCAGGTGTACACCTTCAGGTTCCACTTAGTATGTTGTAATGTATGGAACCACTTCTCTTCTATGGACACGTGCATGCGAGCACGCACGTGGATAAGACAAGTGATATAATACCCAGGTGTACACACTCGGGGTCCACTTAATATTTTGTAATGTAAGAGCCACTTAGTTTCGATGTGGTTCTTCGCTAGCTTGCCTAACTATAAAGTTGTGCTCGCGTGCGCACGCACGCATGTGGATAAGATAAGTAATAATACCCAGATGCACGCCCTCAGGGTCTACTTAATATGGGTGCAAAATTTCAGATTCTTTTCTTTTTTACCTATGGTGGGCACACAGACACATGCATGCACACGCACACGAGCGTGTCTGTCTGTCTGTGATTTCTATTTGTAATATAAGGAACCACTTCTTCTCTATGAGATTTTTTCCATCTTGCCTCATTAAAAAGATGCACATGCACATGAATAAGATAAGGAATAATACCTAGGTGCAAATCCTCAGAGTTCATTTAGTATCGGTGTAAAATTTCAGGTTTCTAAATTCTTTTCTCTAGGATCTATTGCAGTCACACATACACACATACGCACTAGCGCACGCGAGCACGCACACATGTGAGTGTCTGTCTGGGATTTCTATCTATAATAATAAAAGGGGTATCTGTGGGACTGTGTGTGTGACTGCCATAACTCGAAGAGGAAAGAATTTAGAAACCTGAAATTTTACATCCATACTAAGTGTACCCAAAGAGTATGCATCTGGATATTATTACTTATCTATGTGCGTGCACTCATGCGCATGCGCATCTTTTTATACGCAAAACCACATAAAAGAGAAATGTGTTCGTTATGGAATATTAGACTGTTTTAACTATTATGGAATGTTATAATGTTTTTCTTTAACTATTATGGGATGTTATACAGTGATTTTTTATAAATATTATGGGATGTTATAGGGTGATTTTTTAAACTATTATGGGACGTTATAGGGTAGTTTTTAAAAATCACTTTATAATAATAAAAGGGTGTGTCTGTGGGTCTCTGTGTGTGCGACTGCCATAACTTCAAGAGGAAAGAACCTAGAAACCTGAAATTTTGCGCCCATACTAAGTGGATCCTGAGGGTGTGCATCGGGGTATTTATAAGCACCAGGAAAAATTTTATTGATAGTGGAACGATGTTCTGTTTTTTCATTGTTTCTAAATCATTGTTTGCTTACCTATTATTATATTAGCATAATGTTCTTCTTTACTCAATCATATGTATGTTTGTTAACATCTTATTGATACATATCATGTTATAAAACAGTTGAAATCAAAAGGTAAATACATTATAAAGAAAAAAATCAGGTAACTGAATAACAGGTTTGACTATCAACTCTTACAATGTATCGCAAATGAGGAGGGAATTCATCAACATTGCATCACGAGTCTTTGATCTTTAGATCTGCAGCCTGGTATACTAATCACTAGACCATGGTCAAATACCGCCAAAATATGTTTATCTTCTTTCAAGGGAGCTCTTCACTACATTGGTATTATCCTGAAGTTACTGACTTGTTTTAATTCATTAACTTTCTATGTAAGGTACATAGATGACCCCAGCAGTAATTTGCAGATAAACTGTAACATTAATGGCATATTTCACACTCTTTATGTGATTCATATGATGTTAGGGACTTTGTAACCAACAAAGTATTGAACTCACAAACAATATGATGTGTAAATAGTTTCGAAATATTGCATAAAAAGCTGATTGGGTACATATGGGTCCAATAATTAATTCTAGGGGTAACTCATTACATTTGAATTTGTTTAAATACGTTAAGATCTAACATGCATAATCTAATGCTTTTCAAACTGAATGAAACTAGACCACCTAATAACTATAGTATTAGATTTCAGCATATTGCTTTTAAGTTATTACCTTCGGTATATCAACATGAGAAACCCGCCTCCAAGTCCCATGCTTTGAGGAATTACAACTCCCATACATAGCAAAGTGGCTATTGCAGCGTCCACTACAGATCCATTTTTCTTGAGAATTGACCTGGACAGAAATAAGTTCATCGTATAAAGAAAATAGTTTGACAACTCTTGAATGAAAAATATACTTGAAGTCAAAATCATTATCGTTGAATAAGATGCTGTATTTTTCTATCTAACGATGATGAGATATTCCCTCTGAAAGACAAAGGTTGTAATGTCTCATATTTAATGAAAAACCACAGTAAACGGGACAAACTGAGAGAACTGGTTCTGTGTTTTTTCTGGATATCAATACATCCAAGAAAGGAAGTTGGTCATCCTTTTCCCATTCAACTTTAAATCTGATAGTTGGGTGAAATTGATTAAGGTTGTTGAAATGTACACTTCTTTTGTTTGGCCACACAGAAAATATAACATCACCATATCTGAACCACGGAATATTTGAACGGTTTATGTTGATGGAAGGAACTAATTCGGTTTCAGAATATTCCATGAAAAGGTTGCACAGTATTGGAGACAGTAGATTTCCCATGGCCATTCCGTATTTTTGTCTAAAATACTCACCAAGACACATTGTTGTTTACACAGATTTCGATAAGAGAGATAAAAGTGTCAATGGTAACAGACAAAGATATGTTCAGTTCAGGTAATTCTCTTTTAAAAAGCTCTATGGTTTTTTCAGCTGGTACGTTGGTATATAAAGCTTCAACGTCAAAACTTGACATTTTTCCTATACTTAGGTCAGTGTTTTTAATTTTGTTCGCAAAATCTAAAAACTGTTTTGGATGTGCGACGATGAGATTTTCCCAATAACTGGGGATAGATGTCCTGCTAACCATTTAGATAATGGGTATGTGACAGAACCTACGTTAGAAATTATAGGTCTCAGGGGACAGTCTTTTTTATGTGTTTTAGGCAAACCGTACATTTAAAGTAAAGAAGGATTAATACGTTTTAACTTCTTTAAAATATCTGGATAATCAGCAAGAATTGTACATAGTTGTCCGTTAAAGTCAGACACCTTATTAGATAGGGGATTGGAGTTTAATTTTTCATAAACATACCCGTACCATAAGAAGTTCTACTAACTTTCTTTTATAAACGATTTTGTCTAAGATAACGATTTGGTTAGTTTTGTCTGACTTTGTGATTACAATATCGTTGTTCAACTTCAACAATAACAACAACGGTTTGCCTAACGAATAACTACATGAAAAGAAGAGTTGTTGCTTGATCAAAAGACTGCCTAATTTCAACACCTCCCAAGGTCACTTTAAACTTAACAACTTCCTGACCTCCTGTGTTCTTAAGGGAATTCCAAGATCAGAGGTCACGTAGGTGTTTATTGACCAGTTTTGTCCTGCCAGAAGACAACGTGAGACTGAAGAGGACGCACGAATGTGTCGAAACTAGTTTCTCTAATAACAGACTTCTGACAGTTTGTTCCATTTACTGTGGTTTTCACTAATTTCTATACACGATATTGTGTTCTGTTATTAAATTCATATATGGTAAGATTGAGAATGAAAATTAGTATTTTCTTTGTTTGACTATTAAATGTATTCCTGTTTGAATAAGATGTTTAGTTCCTACTGGTTAAGAAGTTAAAATTAATCTACTTGGCAAAAAATTATATTTTTTTTCTCTGAATTAAAGGCTATTTTATCCACTTTCTTACTATGAGGCTGTATTATTTCTGACTAAATATGAGGTTGAATTCTTACTTTCTGTACAAGTTGGTCTAATTTGTCAGTGTCTGTCTGTCTGACTATGAAGCTGCAGTTTTACTATGTGAAAAAGATGTAACCTTTCTGTGGTAATACGATACTGTACTCTCTCTGTCTTAATAAAAAGTTATGTTTCCTTTTTCTGAGCAGAAGACTGTATTTTATTAGTGCGTGAGAAGGTTAATGTACACCCTGGCTTTAACAAGATTTTGTTTTCATTTCTAATCGTGATATCATACTCTTTCTCATTGACTAAGAAGCTGTGCTCGACCTGTCTGAATAAGAAGTATTTTTACGTCTGAGTAAAAGGATGAATTCTCAATTTTGAATAATGTGAACATTTTTTCTATATAAATGTGTCTGAATTTTCTCTGTCTAAATGAGAGGTTTAACTTCGTCGAATTATGAGGATAGGCTCTATTTTTATTATTTCTATCTCTATAAAACTGCATAAGAAAGTGTATGCTTTATGTTTGAATAAAGAGTTGTATTTTATGCCTGAAAAAGAAAGTGTATTATTTTTGCTCAAACAAAGGTTTTTTTCTTTATGTATAAATTATATCCTTTATTGTCTGGGTCTGAAAAGTGAGGGTATTATTTTTATGAGTGAGCATGTCCTTTGTAACTGAGCAAGAAGCTATATTTTTCTATGTGAAGCATAAGGTGTGCAGAAGGTCATATTAAAGTTCTCTGAACCGCATATACCTTTATTTCCCTGAGCAAGACATAAACTTTTCTATGAAAAAAAAGCCGTATTCTCTGTAATGAAATTTTGAGTTTATATTTATCATATGAAATATTTTTTTTTATTCCAACAGGATCATCTGTATTTGAGCTCAAAGATGTTTAATTTCATTTGATCAAATAGTGTCTTTTGTGTGCGAGTTGAAACTAATACATGCTGTCTGGTAGAACCTTTTAAATCTTTTCATCTGTAAAGATAACCCTATATAATTTAAAAGCTTCATTTTTAAGAATATGCAAGCAAAGTAATATTTAAATGACTGCTGAAGAGTTTGTCATCGGATATTTTTTCTTTCTGTTGACCGTCTCAAATAATCAAGCATATATTTGTATTATTAATGCTGTTGAACTATTCAGACTTCTAGTTTGATAATCAGAGTGTTATTTCCTGTTGGAATTTTAACCTTTCAAGTCTGTAATATTTAAACCTTGTTTACTTTGTATTTCTTGTAGTTTTTTGTTTATTAAACAATTTTTATGTAGCTATTAATGTAATAGCCCCCCTGTGGCACATTGGTATGTCTGCGGGCTTATACTGCAAGAAACTGGGTTTCGATACCCGTGATAGGCAGAGCACAGATATCCCTTTGTATAACTTTCTGCTCAATAACAAACAACTTTAATCTAATACATTCGTTATTACTGTTTTTGTTACTCTTCTCGAGCAATTAAGTTTTACTGCTAATATTGATTCTACTATGTTTTTCGCAACAGAAACTATATTCTGAGAATTGTTTTGTTGTATAACTCAAGCCAACAAGTTAAATTTACACGACTAGTGTTGTTTCGTACTCCCTTATATATTTACTATCAACGTTTAAAAGTTTACACTGTTCATATTAAATCATTTTATAAATAATATATAACCTATGTTACCAATATATTTTGCTGTACTTCTTATAGCCTGAACCCTGTTTACTGAAGTCTTGTTTCCGCTATATGTATATATATATATATCATATAATCATTTTATTACAAGTCTTTTCCTTGTACAAACAAATCCTCAACGTTTCCTCATTGGACTTGTCTCTTTCTTTCTTCGGTCATATTACTTGAAATTTGTTAATGTTAAACTTCCGAAGCTAACAAGCATCATCAAGGTTTATTTCTGCGGTATTTTTTAATTCTTGAATATTTGGTTTCGATGTCGTTTTCTTGAAGTTTACAAGTGTTTAGTACTGGAATCTTGTTTCTTTGCTACCTAATCAGTCCTTATTTTATTTTTTTTTCATTTAGGTATTGTTTTGTCGCTTATAAAGCACAGATTGATTGTCACTAACAAGTATAACGGACTTACTCTATAAGTATCTTACTTAGCTGATAATTGTAGTCTTCATTATGTTTATCCAATATGTGATAAACTGATAACATACAACTACTCTGGTTTTGAACAAATGTAAGAAAAAGTTAACAAAGCGTAGATATGAAATTTTAAGAACAATACAAGATGCAATACTATTACAAATAAAAGAATAACAAAAATCTGAGGTCTGAAGAGCTACAGGTTCCTACTTACTTTCCAACTGGTGCACACTGGGCTGCATCTGTTGATATAGCGGCTTGGCTGTAGCCTTCAACTGCTGGTTTCTTGATATACTGCCGTCTGAGGACTAATCCAACTACTAGAGCTATTAAGGCTGATGCTACCAGGAGTGATGCAATCACAACCAGTCGAAACTTAACTGATCTGATTTTTCTGAAGAATAAATTCAAACATTAAACATAAAATAAAGTTGGCTAGGTATAAGATGTGTAGAGAAACATAAGATTTTTAGCACAAGAACGGAGAGATAAAGTGATCAATAGGTTTATGGTTTATTTATATGGATAAATAATAATAAATAAAGAAAAGAGGTGCAGGACGTCAATTAGTTAAGTTAGAAACTTACACTAGCACAACCTAATGTACAAATGTATGCATAAGTATATAGCTTAATGAACAACCCACTAAAAATAAAGAAAAAATTAAAAAAACAATTAATAATCCATTGTGGCTTTATGCTAAACAATAAACTAGTAAATATACAAGTACCAATTGTTAGTCACTACACCTATGTTACACAGTTATCAGACCAACGGTAAATATTATTGCGGTAATAACTTATCTATATACATTATTATGCCTAGCTTAAAACCATATATGCTTTTATCTTTTCCGTACTCAAGTATGCGTTTATAACATTACATAGTTTTCGAAGGTTTATTATCTTGTGTAGGTTGACAAGCAAACACATATCCAACTTATAAAAGTGTTTAGAGCTATTGGGTACTAAGATTATATATACTTCTATATATTACTAACTGTGGTGCCTGTCCGAGTGTTCGTCTGTCTCCCATTTGAAAAGCTGCGCACGCAGGCAAAGTTCAATATTCACT